GGTCCTATTTTTTCTTCTATGAACTTTATAGTTTTAGGCTTTATATTCAGGCCTTTGATCCATTTTAAAGTAGTTTTTGTATACGGCATGAGGTATGGGTCCTGTTTCTTATTTTATAATTTGAGTCAAGTGCCCAATCCCTTTATTTGTATTGTTCTTTTTAATTAATGAAAGTATTTAAGGCCATAAAATTTTCTTCTGAATACTCTGTGTAATTTAGCCCATTATTACCATGCTAAGAAAACATAAGCAACACAAAAACGTCTCCCAAATAAACTTTAAAAAGAGTCAGAAAATATTTCCTTTGTCCCAGGTCTGCTGCCTTATTTCCAGCAGGTCCGGAGGACCCCGCCTACTTAGGGAATGTACTACCTTAAACATGACGAAAAACTCAAAGGCCTCACATGCAAGGGTGCATGTCTAATGTGATTCCCTTTTTCAGAATTGATTTGTAATGAACTGGCCTACTTCTTTGTGTTATCCAGACAGTGAGTTCCAAAGATCAGCCCTGCGGGTCCACCAGTCTTAGAGCAGCTTGGGCACAGTGGACTGTAAGGCTGTACCTGAAGTTAGGAAGCGATGAAAAGCTACAAGGCACCAGATGCTAATTCACAAACTTACCGATATGTACGTTCAGATTGAGGTAAGCGTGAAAACAAAGAATAGATATGAGGGACAGCAAAAGAGAAAATGAGTCTATCATTACTGCTTACAACCCTTAGTTAAATGTCACACCATCCAATAATTTTTTTATCTGTGGAGGTTAGACTAAATAAAAATCCTGTGTATTTAGGAAGAAAACCAGAAAACAAAGCAGTTGATGGACACAATTCATTCAATTATCCATCTTTTTTTACCTACCTTGTCACCAACTTTGTAAGCCGGTGGAGTGGTCAGTTTTATATCCGTGATGTTGATTTGAGGTGAGTCTTCAATAGGGGGCTTCGGCACAAGATCCTTGCTGGTTTCTATCTGGCTCTCAATTAACTTGATAATTGCATCTGCTCTTTCCTTCGGCATTGGCTTTCCATGCCACTTCTCTGCACCTTCAACGTCTGCAACAAACGAGAAATAGTTGTTCGTTCAACAAATATTTAAAGAGCACCCGTTAGGTTATCAGAAGACACCAGCCTAGGACTCAAACGAGTAAAATTCTGCCAAAGAGGGACTGGGATGGTGTTATGGTCAGAGAGAACAGCCTGTACAAACGCCAGAGGCCCTTCAGGGGGCCGCTGGCCTGTGTGCTGGCGTACGGAGGAAAGAGAGAGGGAAGTCAAGGCTGAGAAATAGTCAGAGGCTGATCAGGCAGGGTCTTGTGGGTATGATAAATGGTTTAGGTTTTATCCAAAGCAAGACGGGAAACCACTGAAGGGTTTTGAGTGGGGGGAGTGACTGCTCAGATCTGCATTTGAGAAAGATCCCCAGGGCAGAAATGTGCAGACTGAAAGTGGCAAGGGCAGTGAATAAGCTGTTACAGTTAAGGAGAGATGACGGGGGCCTGGGCAAGGCTGGGGTGGCAGAGATGGAGAGGAGCAAACAGATTTGAGCTACAGTTCAGAGGCAGACTCGGTAAGATCTGATGATGGACTGGATGAGTGTGTAGGGAGCATGAAAAGGAGAGAGTGAAGGCAGGGATGATCCCTAGGTGTACGCCCACAGAAAAATGGTAGAGTTGTCATTTCCTGAACCGGGCGCACTGGAATAAGACCATGTTTTGGGGGTCTTCAGGAGGATTATGTTCCACACAGGCCACATGCCAAGTCTGAGATGCCTGGGAGACATTCAAGTAGTGACATCATGTACATGCATCTGGCACTAAGAGGCTGGAGGTCTAAATCTGGGAAATAAACACAATCATCTAGGGTGGACAGCAAGGGTCCCAGCTGTGCCCTGAGGATCGTGACCATCGAGATGTGCGGGGCAGCGGTCTTCAGATTAGTCCCACCTACCTCTGCATGAGATGCATTCCAGTATGCGTTCTCTCTGTTCAGAATTACCTAGCAAAACTGCCTACTTAATCTAAGGGAAATTTTCAAACACTTAGTGCTGATGATCATAGGAAAAGTTTTTTTTTTTTTGAATTGCAACTCTTATACCTACTTGTGTTACTGAGAAGCATAAGACTTTCAAGCATAAAAAATTGACTACATTAGGGTAGTGTTGGGGGTGGCGCGGAAAGGAAGTTGGATATTGTGACTATACTGAATCCCACTAGATAGATACATTTGAAGAGGTGATAGCATCATTTTATTCGTAAATGTTGGTATTAAAAGGAAACCAGGAATCACATCCTTGGCAACTATTTAAATTTGAGACGAACCATTTCAGTAGTCAACTTTGCAGTGTGCACGCAGTTAGTCTTTCAAAACTCCCTCCCCTCCTTAGTCCCCGGTTTTACGGCCCCCTTTCCCAGAGGCCACCCGCTACTAGTCACTTGTGTACCCTTCCACATGGTCTGTGCGCGGCAAATGTGTCTGCATACACACCCTTACTTCCGGGCCTGCTCGTCCACAGAGCAGGCCGCTTTGGCGCTGGCTCCCTGGATGCACCTTACACATTCTGACTCTGAACAACTCTCCTCCTAGCTGTTCACCTGCCAGGGCTCTCCCTCCCAGCTGAACGAGACATGCTACCTAGAAAGGCCAAGGGAGCAAGGGCCGAGCTCAGCTCCATCAGACCTGTGTTCCACATTGCTTCCTGTCTGTCCTTTCTACTTCTGCACACAGACTTCTTGCCTCAAGGAGCGAAATACTTACAATGAAGTGCCAAGGTTGGCTGTGCTCTTAAATGTCACAGCTGGACAATAATCACCTCAGAGCCTGGGGAGCCTGGACACTGTCATCCCTGAAGTCTTAAACAGGCACGTGTCCAGATTGACACCCAAAGCCTCCGCGTGGCTCTCCCACGGGCATCTCCAACTCATCCCGTCAAAACGGAAGGAGTTTCTGCAGAAACTTGTCTCCTCCTGGGCGAACCTCAGACCACTCAGCTCCCACCCTGCCCTCTGGCTCCCTTCACTTTTCCTTCCTCTCTGCTCCCTCCTTCTCACCAGGGAAGTGACATTTCTCAAATCAACATCTGATCAGGCTATTTTCTTGCTTCAAATCTTTTTTAAAAACTCCATCCCCCCAGTTCTCCCACCTCTGGGAAGCTGTTCCTGAACGCCCATACTGTTCAGTTCCGCCCAGGGACATGTGCGTGGAATCCCGGGCCCTATCTCCCCCACCAGACTAAGCGCTGAGGGGAAGTTTCAGCCACACTGGGCGCTGTGGTCCTGGTATCCAGGGTGTGTTGCGGGGTAATCGCTGCTCATCAAGTAAGTCACGTGCCTGCTCAGCCCAAGCCTTCTTCTGCCTCTCTGTTGTGCAGACAGATACTCTGCAGAGCCCAACCCAGAGAGAAACGCTTGCTTACTTGGAATCCCCCGGCCCTTGAAGGTCTTGGCCACCACAGCCGTGGGCTTGTTCTTCACTTGAGATGCTTGCCAAAATGCCTGGCAGAGCGCCTCCACGTCATGGCCGTCCACCACGTAAGTGTTCCACCTGATGGCCGGAGGAGGAGGCTAGGTTACGAGAGATAAAGGGAGTGGGACAGGGAGGAGAGGGGAACAGGGGACATGCTCACCCGAAGGCCTCGCAGCGCTTCTGGTAGATGGCTGTGCAGTGCTCAAGGGGCAGGGCGCTGCTCGGCCCCAAGCGGTTCACGTCGAAGATCGCCACGAGGTTGTCCAGGTGGTAGTGGGAAGCGAAGGCCAAAGCCTCCCAGACAGAGCCTTCCGAGGACTCACCATCTCCCATCAGGCAGAAGACCCGGTAGCTGGAGCAAGCCAAGAGGGGATTCGGACCCTGCCTGGGGCTCGTACGGGCCACTCAGACAGACACATTTCACGGTGCTGAAACACAGCCTTCAAAGCCCGGTACCCGCGGAATGGACTTCACCTCTCGACGGTTTTCTAGTTCTACCTGACAACTAACGGCTATTTCTGAGTTAAGCGTTCAGGTTACTTTTAAATTTTTCTGCCACTTCTCTGGGATCAAAAACTAGAGGGGAAGGGGAAGAAAGCAACTCTCTTAAATACCAAAAACAACATCCACACGTACACTGCCGTGGTAGATTCTGCTGTGAAACACTGTCACCCTCTATTTCTGATCTTCCCAACGTGTTTACACTAACCGGAAGGAGCAAAGCTTCTAGCTGAGCAGCGTCTGCTCTGTTGTCAACACTAAACTCATCTACAGCCAAAACGGCGATGTGAAACGTTTACACCAATAAAACACAACCCAAACTCCAACAAAAACGCTGAAGTTAAGATTAAAAAACAAAGTCATTAACCCCAAGGACCGGGACTTTGGGGAATGGAAAGCAGGTGGGGTGGGGACTGACTTAGCAGTGGAGGGAGTCAGATGAGGGCAGCTGAGGGGCCAACCTGAGGATGGAAAGGGACTGGCTGGAAATTATTTTTTTTCTTTCTGCCCATGTGAAAAAAACCAAAAAACCAGACCCAGTGCCATCGAGTTCATTCAGACTCATAGTGACCCCATGTAGGAACCATTTCTTAGAAGGTGAATATTCTGAATCTCCCCCGTGTCTGTTCTGCCATACCTGCTACTTGGCCCAGACCTGGAGAGTACAACAGAGCCCGCTGCAGGCCCCGCCCCAGCCCGCTCTCACGTGGGGCTCCTGAGAAGTAGGGCTCGGCCTGGGCTCCAGGTGCAGGCCTGGGTGTGGGTTAGGCTACAGAGAGCTAGCCTTCAATCCCCGTAGGCACTGAGGAAGCAGGGTCCCGACAAGATACCATCGAAGTGACTAGAAGGCTTTCCACAGAGAGGCTGGACCCCTTGGGGCTCTCCCCAACCCCATGGAGCTAGGTGGCTGCCCGCCCCACCCCACCCTGGGGGAGGGAGGCTATGTCCAGGCGGAACTGAACCCAAAGCGCCCTAGACTCGGGCATGCCAGGTGCAGTGGAAGGCAGAGGACCACGTGGGACTGCAACATATGTCAGTAGGCCCAGCTGGGACCCCGCAGTCCCTCCCCTGGGCCCACAGCAGCAGCTGGGACAAGCCTCCGGAAAAGCAGACCCTCCCATAAATAAAACCAGACTGCCTTGTGGAGGGGGCAGTGCAGGTAGGTGGTTTCTAGGCGCTCACCTGGCCTTGTCAAAGTACTTGCCGGTATACGCCATGCCACATGCAGCGCCTAGTCCTTGCTCCAGCCAGCCAGATATCACATCAACAAACGACAGTCTCTGGAAGAGAAAAAGGACCAAACGGCTCTGGGCCCAGCTCTGGGACACAGATAGTGGGTAAACTCCCTGTGCAGGCCTTCCTGGTCTGTGGTGTCGCTGACCATTGTAACGACCTTCCCGCCCTGCTGGGTTAATTCCTCTTCTCCACACGCACCTATACCCAAAGCCTCAGATCAACACGACGGGTGGACCGCAGAACTGGGGCTACAAAGAAGAACAGCTATCGTCCGAGGCCGGGGCAGCCACGGGTGCTCCGAGCGGTGGGGCGAGGGCGACAGGAACTCTGGGAACATGGAGGAGGAGGGAAGCTTCTGCTCAACACAGAGCCTATGCAGAGCACACCAGCTTTCAGAAAACATCAGGCATTGAGACTTGCCATTTTGCAAGGACTTTGGTCCAGCTGTGCACAAACCTAGTGTCCAATCTTTTCAGAGAATATGGCTTCTTAGACAGAAGCCAGCAGCACTGAAGAAGGCTGCAGCTTCCCTGGTGCGTAGGAGCCAGGTCAGTGAGATTTTAGGAGTGATCGTCCAGAGGCGCAGACACTAGCAATGAATCAGCCCCCTCTCCTTTATCGACATGGCTACTATCATCTCATGGAAAGAATATGGCCTTCTGAGGGCCACGGGACTGTGCCAAAAGGCCACTGAGCTACTAGGAAATGTCCTGTTCCCAAAGGCAGCACAGAGCTTCCAAAGACACCCTAGAGTCATTCAAAAGACTCCAGGCATCTTGCCTGTCACTGCAGTGGCCTCCTGGCTTCCCCCTACAGGCAGTCGTCAACCCAGCCACCAGAGGGATCCTACTAAAACCTAAGCCAGGTCATCACGTCTCTGCTGAGAATGGTCCAAGGCCTTCCCTTCTCTTTCCTGCCTGATCTGGCCTCCATCACCTCTGAGCTTCCGCTGCCACCACCCTTCTCAGCCCTCCCCCTTGAACACCGCAAGTGCACACCTGCCTCAGGGCCTTTGTACTTGCTCCTTTGTCCCCAGATATGCACATGGCTTACTCTCTTACCTATTCAAGTCTCTGCTCAAACATCGGCATCGAGGTCTTCCTCGTACATTCTTTTTCAACTAGTGCCCCTACCTCTTCCGCTTTACTCTGATCCAAAATACTTAGCCCCACTGACACGCTACCTGTCCATTTACGTGTCTGCCTGCCCCAGTCAAACGTCAGCTCCATTCAGGCAGAGATCTCGGTGCATTCGCCACTACCGTGGATGAAGGAACGGGACTCATTATCCTCAGGTCTCTCTTCCTCTGGCTTCCTACCATGCCCTGCCCTCCTCCACCCTGCCCTCTACTCCCCTCCTCCACCCTGCCCTCTACTCCCCTCCTCCACCCTCCCCTCTACTCCCCTCCTCC